CCGAATCGGAAGCTAACTTCAGCCTCGTACTGATATGGCCTATAGTTAAACGCCACACTAATCATTAGCTCCCATACAAATATAACTAAAATCCCCTTTTGTTACTCAAACTTCTTCCAAATATAGCATAAATAGTTCAACGACTAACATCGATTCATGTCGACTTAGCATTCAAGCTAATGCTACATTAGCCAATAGGACACTAAGCATACAAAGCTTTTTTGCTCTATTACTTCTTTCAGTGAAAGAAAGATTTTAAGTAAATTTATCAGAAAAACAATAAATAACTTACCTGTCCAAAATATACTTTGCCAACTTCATCCGTTTTCAGGCCGCGTAGATCACGAAACAGTGAGCCGAGTGAGGCGCTTGACACTGTTGTGCTTGTGCACGCTGAGATCTAATGCTCGTTCTCGATGATTGACAGCTGCCCCTGGTAGTAATGCAGCGCTATTGGTCAACGCGTTAGGCTTGCAGAAATATTGGCTGAGCTCTACAGGGCAGGGGAGGGACTTAGGAGAAAAATGAAATATTAAAGATTATTTACTTTTTTAAATAAAACTAGGTCAGATGGTCAAAATGAAACATTTTTAAAGTTATTTCACATTTAAATCTTACGTACCCTGCCTTTAACTAGGATGTGAGAAGACCTGCAGAAGAGGGTAACCAAGAGGTATGATAGCCAGATGCCCAAGCCCCCTCAGCTTCTTTTACTGAGTACAGCGGCTCTGAGGAGGGCTTAGTAGCTCATACACTATTCACTAACAAATATCAACACTACCAAACAAGAGTGGACAGTTAACACATACATGTGAATTAAAATAAACTATTCCCCCTATATATACTGCCCAGTCTGAGTCTGATCGCTGCACAAAGCCTTCTCCAGCACATCCCAGAGATTCTCAATGGGGTTAAGGTCTGGACTCTGAGGTGACCAATCCATGTGTGAAAATGATGTTCATGCTCCGTGAACCACTCTTCCACTATCTGAGCCTGATGAGTCCTGGCATTGTCATCTTGGAATATACTCGTGTCATCAGGGAAGATGGAATAACCTGGTCATTCAGGATATTCAGGTAGTCAGCTGACATCATTCTTGAAGCGCATCCTGTTGCTGAACCTAGACCTGACCAACTGCAGCAAGCCCAGATCATAACACTGCCTCCACAGGCTTGTACAGTAGGCACTGGGCATGATGGATGCATCACTTCATCTGCCGCACTTCTTACCCTGATGCACCATCACTCTGGAACAGGGTCCATCTGGACTCATCAGACCAGTTTTTAATAATGCGTTGGACAGTTCTTAACCCAGTTTTAGTCGTTTCTGCATCTTAGATGTTTTCTCTGCTTGATGCCTACCAATGATCTGACCCTTCTCAACAGCCTAACACCTTTTTCCACATGATTGTTTAATAAATGAGAAGCTGCTCATTGCAGCAGTTGGGGTTAAACAACTTGTTACCACCTGAGAGATAGTCGTCCATGCAGTAATTATCCAATAGGAGGCTCTACCTGCTCGTTAGTTAAATCCAGGTAGCGACTGTTTTGGGGCCAGGCAGTGTATACTACAGTGAAGAGCAATACTTTTGAATACATAAAAGAAAAACTGTGCTAAATGTAAGTTAATTTCTACGCATTGTCTTGTGATGAACGATAATCTCTTGAATCAACTCAGATGCTGTAGGTTTAATAAATCAGTTTGATATTTTTCTACTAATGACTGTCAGCAGCAGGAAACCAAATACTGGTCATTAGATGTGACAGAGCACTAACGTGTGATTTATGTTTAAAGGTTTAATTGGCAGCACTTCCTCGTTCCCTGGGCTGCTCTCAACAGATTTCTGACATATCTGAAAACCTTGGAGAGACACTTGGCTTTAAAGCTGGCTCACTGGTTTCAGATGATTTATCTGTGTCTCGAGTAAAGAGCAGACCTGCTTCTGTGGATACCATTTTTCTCATTGAAGATATCCATTTATATAGCTCAGCAGCACAATGTCCTCACAGACATTGAAACTTTAAAAGACCAAAAAAAGAGAACAGGTCATAACCTCAAGTCATTTAGAAACAGCCCATTTAACTTTACAACAACCTGTATTTTTTTCCAGACTCTTTAACGATACCTGAACGTTCCCTTTTATGTATCGTTATGTAAGATGAAACTTGTTTATTTTATCATTAATATGGATACATATGGATTTATTTATGTGAGCAAATTTACTATAAATGTCTCAACATCAACAGTGTTTTATTTTAAACGTTTTAAAATTTTGCAAATTCTGGAAAGACAGAAACTTTTGGGTTCCATAGATTATTATGGGTCCAAAGTGGATGGCAACGGCAGAGGAGAAGAGACGTCCCAGCGCCTTGGGCTTCCAGACAGGGTTGCGGAAGGCGCTTTATAAATAAAGCTTTGATTTGATTTGAGACAAATGTAATTTAATAATAAAAATAAAAAGCTGACAAGGCAGCAAAACAAAACCAACGAAAAGAGGGAGCAGGACAACGTCAGCACCTGGCATTTAATGCGAGTAAAACCGTGTCACTAGTGAGTGATTCTTGATTCTTGTTAAGACTGTGGCAGCAGCATTCTGAATAAACTGCAGTTACCTCACAGCTTTTTTGGGAAGACCAGTGATAGAATAATTATAAATGTTTTCTTTATCATGCCTTATGCTTTTATTACATTTAAAGATCATTTTCATTTATCATGTTTTATGCTTAAAGATTTTACCATTTGATGATTAAACAGTTGCTGTGTTGTTTTATTGTCTCATGTTTTATTTGTCATGAGACTTTAAGAATACTGAATATTGGTTTTCGCCTAATGTGACCCAAGGATGACCCAAGGAGATCTGGTGACCTGACAACTGCTGACTCGTGCAACTGTTTGCACTGAAAGTTCCTTGTGTAATAATGAATGCTTTTTGTTTGAAACTTGTAACAAAGACTGAGAGGTGTGTTTCCCCCCCTCCCTTCAGATCAGCTCTTCAGGCATGTAACTAGGGAGCTCCCAGCTTGTAATAAATAGAGACGCTCGGATTCCAAAGGCCAGAGTGGCGAGGGATTTCACACAGTGAGGTGGAGATCACACTGTGTCATGTCTCTGTCATTCGCGAGCTTAAAAACAGAATTATGACTTTTGTGTCTCTTTCCTTGTGTTGTGTTGTAATATGGTGTCTTAGGTGCTGACAACCAGTCAAAAGACCACTGCAGTAGTCCAGCCAGCTGGAGATGAACAGATGAATGAGTTTCTCTAGGTCTTGTCTGGACATGAGACCCCCGAGTCGCGCTATTTGATGGAGATGATAAAACGCTGATCTAGTTATAGCCTTGATGTGACCAGTGAAGCTCAGGTCTGAATCAATTATGACATCAAGGTTTCTAACCTGGGTCTTTCCTAGCTGAGCAATAACCTCCATCCTATCCTTCTTATTTCCAAAGACAATAACTTCAGTCTTGTCTTTGTTTAACTGGAGGAAGTATGATTTCAGTCATTAACTTGTTCCAAACACTGATAGAATGAGTCTAGAGGACCACAGCCATTGGGTGATAGAGCTAGGTAGATCTGGGTGTCATCTGCATATTTCTCCAAACTAGGGTAATTCCGTAAGACAACTCCTGTCAAATGGTCAAGACAGGAATTATTTATAACTTTTGTACAGAACGAGTTCAAAATAACCAAGAAATTCCTTTAAGGTTATAACAAACCAGCTTAATGATTTGCTCTTTTTGAAATGCAATATTTGAATTCTACGTCGCACAAAATCACAACTTGAAAATGACTCAAAAGCATTCCGAGTTTATTTCCGTGTTGTTTAACTTTATAGAATTTATTGCGATGTGGAAACTCATTCGTAATAGGGAGTTACTCCCACTTGAGTAGCCTCCAGTAAACATACGGCACATGTTAGTGTCATAAATCTCCAGCTCATATCTGGTCCAGAAAATTCAGTGCATTCAAAAATTAAATATAAACACAGCCCTTTATAAAACAAAGCTTTTTAGCTGTTGAGGCACTATTGATTTGGTTTGCCCCCTAAAATGGAGAATTTATAGATGTGGCTGGTTCTCTCCCGAGAGTGATATTAGTTTTCCTCAGAAGGAAAGGAAACTGTCTGAGCGAGGCGTGAAGAATTGGGTCCAGACTCAGCTGGAGCGAGGGCCTCTTCGTGAATCTATAATGTGTTATTAAAGTTGTTTCTCTTGAATATAACCCAAAGCTATCCAGTTCTGCGGTCACAGGGAGAAATCTGATTATTATTTTTTGCAGTACAGTGAGCACTAAGTCAGCTGATGACATTAAACTCCTCATTCAAGAATCTGCCTACTTTTCTTCTCCACGCATCCACTCTGTATTTATTTATACATACTTTTGCATTATGGGGATCATTAGACCAAAGAAAGATGACTTAATTATGGCCAAATGCATGTTTTCTTGCAGCTATTGCGAGTAAATTGGGAGTTATCTAAATTTGTTGGTTGGCTTCATGCTTTTTGGACTTTACAGGTTTCTCTAAGTCTGTAGAGCTGACTAAACATTTTATCTCTGGGAAATGAAACATATGCTGAATCCCAAACTGATAACTAACCCACACAACGCAGGTTAGTTTTATAATTCCTTCCAATAAATAAGCAACATCAGCAAGAATGGTACAAACACTGAGTTATAAATGCAAATATGAAATGAATAAAAACACACAGGAAGCTTCTTGTATTTATTTAGGGGTTTAATTGTGAAGTTAACTGTGCTGAATCTGATCATTTACACTTTCCATTTATGCATAACTGAATTATCGAGTCTTTGAATTTGAAATAATGAACATATAACATTTTTTGAGTCATATGCTGATTGAAAAAATGGGAAAATGTTCAAAGAACATCAGCTCTGGCTTCAATAAAATGTTTTTGTTGCTCAAAGTTGATTATTTCTTCAGAACTCTGGCAGACCAGCATCTGTTAGACAGGATGTTTTTCTCAGCCACAGCTGCAGACTGATAGCAGAGTCCCTAAATACCTTCTGGTCTGAGCTGCTAGACAGACTGAGCAGGTATAAGAGAGCTGAGCAGACAAACTTCCACTCTTTGTAGTGAAATCATGCTGAGGACTGTGGCCGTCCTGCTGCTTCAAGCAGCATTTGGTGAGTCGCTCGGTGTGACCAAAACAAAAACACGGGTCAAATTCTTTAATTCTGAACACATTAAATGTTCCAAATCTATTGTAGTGTTTGGATGTGGCACACCTGCCGTCAAACCTGACACCAACAGGATCGTAAACGGAGAAGACGCTCGTCCTCATAGCTGGCCCTGGCAGGTAACTGCAGCTCGTTGAAAAACCATCTAAAATAATGTTGTTACATCCAAAGCTATCCGTGTTTTAAACAGATCTCACTGCAAGTAAAGCATGGCAGTCGTTACCATCACACATGTGGAGGAACTCTGGTTGGACCACGTTGGGTGCTGACAGCTGGACACTGCATCTGGTGACCTCCAGTGAAATCAATATTTGGAAACTAAAACAAAAGAAAGACATTAGGATGGAAATTGTGCCTTTACATTAAAAATAAAGCTTTTTTCCTGCAGGCCTGGTGATGTGTACCGTGTGGTATTGGGAGAGCACGACATGAGTGTGCAGGAGGGCACAGAACAGATCCGGGACATCCTGCGCATCATCGTCCATCCTGCGTGGGACATTGAGCATGTGGCTAATGGGTGAGCCAACAGAATAAAATATATTCTGGCTGAATACCTCAATTAAGCAACGTCCTTAAAGGACTAAACATTGCCTCAACCTTTCATGCTAGAGCTATAAAAGAAGATTATCTTTCCTTAAGAAATGATTCAGTTGTAGACATTTTGGTCAACTTTTGAAAATGTTTTGACCACTCTGTCACATGAGATCAGATGATCTGTTAGTTTGTATAACAAATGACTCCATTAAAAATGTTAACTGAATATCTGTCAAATTCACAGGCATTACGTCAGCGTCATTACATTTAGTCACATGGTTCATGAGACATTTTGCTAACAAATCAAACAATCAATCAAAGCTTTATTTATAAAGCGCCTTCCGCAACCCTGTCAGGAAGCCCAAGGTGCTGAACATGGTACAGTAGAAGGTAAATATATTGAATAAATCAAAAATAAAAGCAATTCAAATTACAAAATACAAAAAAGGTGAAACATTCTGGTACAGGACAAATGTGTAAAACAATGGATGGAGTGAACCAATGAAAACTGTGAAATAAATTCGACACAAAAGAGGGCCAAAATCAAACATGTTCAGGAAACGCCAAGCGGATGAGGTGTGTTTTAGGCGACTCTTAAAGGCTGGCAGAGATGGGGACAGCCTAACTGAGGGTGGCGACTGGTTCCAGAGTGACGGCGCTAGGACTGAGAAAGCCCGGTCCCCACGGGTACGACACCTAGAACGAGGGACAGCGAGCAAATAGTCTAACTTCAGTGGCAAATGGTTCATTTATGGTAGTGTTTAATTTAAAGACAGAGGTGTGGGCTCAAGTCACATGACTTGGACTCGAGTCATTATTTTTATAACTTCTGACTTCACTTGATAAAATCTACAAAGACTTACAACTTGACTCGGACTTGAACGCCAATGACTTGCGACTTGAATCGACTTGCATCTGTTGACTTGATGATGACATGAGCATATTTAATATTTTAGCACAAAGTGGCACGACATGGACAAAAATCATAAATCATTCTTGGTTCTGGGTTTGATCTTGTACCGCTAAATGCAGCAGCCCTTTATAATCCGTTTCAGTTGCACTTTCTGCTTGTTTGAGCAAATAAAAGAAGCTTTATTTCTGGAATTGATTTATTGCCATTGTCATTAAATAGAAGTTGGACAAATGACTTGATTATGACTTGAAAATTCAAAGTTAAGGACTTGGACTTGACTTGGACTTCCATATCATTGACTTTGGACTCAACTTGGACTTGGTTGTCTTTGACTTGGGCTTGACTCGTGACTTTACTGGAAAGACTTTTGACTTCTTTGTGACTTGAAAAGCAGTGACTTGGTCACACCTCTGTTTAAAGATACAATCAGTTCGCTGTTGAAGTTCACGATGCTTTAAAGCAGACAACGCTCCAAATGTTCGCCCATTATCTGTAACACTGAAATTTCCTTTTTCTTTTGTTTCTACTCTTCCACTAGCAGGTGAAAAATGAAGAAACAATTTTTTGGCATATAAATATCTAAATACATGAGAGTAAAATCTAAAGGGCTTGTGTAAATGTTGTTCCTCCCAGTAATGATCTGGCTCTGCTAAAACTGGACAAGAGTCCCATCCTGAACGACAGCGTCGGTGTGGCGTGTCTTCCAGCAGCAGGAGAGATCCTCGCCCACGAGACCCCGTGTTTCATCACCGGCTGGGGAAACCTTTACAGTAATGTTACAGATTCTTCTGCCTTTAGAACATGGTTTAAAAGATATTTATGTTTCCCAGGGATGGAAAATAACTGAGAAACACTGGGTTAGAGAGATGAATATGGTAAATGAAGCTCCTGCTACATTAAGGGTAGAGAGTTAGGATTTTAAATTCAGTTATTTATATATAAAGAATTATTCCTCGAACTTGAACATGAACTATAACCGGTATCGTATTTGTTTTAGTGATAGTTAGTGTCTGTGGTCTTATTTATATGCCCTTCTGACCTTTTCTGTTCTTCCTGTTATACATTTTGTAATCCATGTGATTTTTACTTCCTTCTCAAAGGTGTGACCTCACATGTGACTCTCTCTTACCAACTTCACTGTTGCCATTTAAGCTGTATTTTAAAGAATATAGTGATAATTTATTAACAAGTCTTTTTGACAATTATCAGATTTACACCCATCAACCTTTTATTCTGTGTCAAATCAGTTCAACATGTTCAGGCTGCTTTTGCATGACCTTTGGTTGATTCTTCATCACTACCTTCTCATTCAGCTCTTTCTACCATTTCTGTCTTTCCACTGATTACCTTTTCTTATTCTTTTTCTTTTTCCTTTTACCCACATTTTTAATGAAAATTTTTACCTTTCCCATCATATTTATCATCTTTTTTATACTTTTTAATTTAAATGTTTAATTTTGTTCTTGAAGTGCCTCGTGATTGTTATCTAGCCAAATAAAATAGTTTTCTTTCTTTCTTTCTTTCTTTCTTTCTTTCTTTCTTTCTTTCTTTCTTTCTTTCTTTCTTTCTTTCTTTCTTTCTTTCTTTCTTTCTTTCTTTCTTTCTTTCTTTCTTTCTTTCTTTCTTTCTACAGTAAAGGTCAGAAAAGAAATATAACCTAAATGAATCAGATCAGAAGACCATGACTGCCTTCAAAAAATAAAAATTTTCTAAATTACATAAATGACTTGAAAATGCTGCTTTAATGTTTTGTTAAAAAAAGCTGAAGTTCTAACTTCAGGTTCAGAATCTGACTAAAAAAATGAGAACAATTCAGGACAACGGTGGAGATTTAGTTACGGGTGCACTCAGACAAAAAAAAATCTAGTATAATTTAGCTGACAGTGACGGTAATTTGCAGCCTGACCAGCCAGCCCCATGCTTCCTTATGAGAAGCATTCTAGAATCAAAAAGATAATGAGTCAGACAGGTAACATGTTGACCTGATAAAACCTAATAAAAATATTGCATGATAATGAAGTCAAAGTAAAGGAAAATTTGATCCTTTTCTGACTACCGTAAATCCTCTAATATTGGCCTGTATTCAATTAACGGCCGGGTATCATATTTTGGCCGGTGTCGAGTCGGCGGAGGTGAATAATGGCTGGTATTTTATTGTGGCCAGGTGGAATGTGGTAACAAGCAAGTATCACAGGGGGGCGGTTGTGTCATCCGTCTCACTTTTGATTTGCCAGTGATAGACCGCGAGGGTAACTTTAACCGTGCGGAGACGAAGAGGAGGCGAAAATTTGATATCAAGTTCAAAGAGAACGTGCTGATTATGCTGCAGAACACTCTGGGGAGCAGTAGCAGGGGTTGTATGAACTAGTCACTAGTCGACTTCACCGCTCTATAGTGACTTGTTATGCCTGTCATCGACTACTTGCTGTCACGTGATAATGACGGGCAAGATGCAGTCCACGGAAAAGACAGCAGCCTGCTGTCAGCAGGTGACAAGCTCCTGCGCGTCGGGGGGGCAACGCGCTGTGCCAGAGCGTCGGTACTGACACCCGCCGTAAAACAGACATTTAACCAAATTGTGACCTTTACCCTCTTGCAATTTAACCTTCCCCTCACCCCCATCCTAACCTTAACCAGCTTGCGCATGCAAAGCTCTGATTGTTGACGCGCTCCAGACATCTGCGTCCTGAGCACGGCCACAGTAACATTATCAAATCAGGTGTGGCCACCTCAAAAACTATTTTAACACACGATCATTCATGTCGGCTCATTTCCTTTTATGTTTTCTGTCTTTTATTCTTTTATTTGCGCCTGATGCGTTTCGCTGCTGTGGAGCGGGGCGCATCACCTTGTCCTCCGGTGACGCACCGATCACTGATGCGGCCGGCGCGCAGCGAGCACTCCGCTGTTTTTGCGGTCGGTAGATCTTTTAGAACTGCAGTTCAATGGTAACTCATGAGGTGAATATATAGGAACCCAGGTAGCAGTTTTTCTTTAGGATTGAGAGGAGATGCAGGAAGATTATAAACAGGCAGAACAGAAAAATAGTCAAATAACAACAAGTTAGTTTTTGTACCTGCTGGTTGCAACAAACAGACACCATTGAAGGTAATCAGAAGTGAGGAAAAGAAAATGAAATAATTATTTTAATGTTTAGAGCAGCAGGAACTCCGAGAGGCTGCAGGCGCATCAGTGAGTTTGCGGCCGCTGTGCAGGGGGAGGGGGGAGAGGGCTGAAGCAGGGGGAGGGGGAGAGGGCTGAAGCAGAAACTACCGTTGTTTAAAGAAATGTGTTTAACTTTTAAAATGTGGGCGCAATTTTAATTGTCAAAAACTCCAGCGAACCATTAGTTCATTTTACTCAAATAGAAATTGAGGCCTGCCTCTAATTCTGGTCCTCCTTCCAATAAAGGCCTGGAGCTTGAGTCAAATACAGGCCCGGGCCTGTATTAGAGGATTTACGGTAATTAACTTTGTGGGAAATCTTTTATTTTAATTAAAGTGTTATTTTTTGATGAGATACTTATTGAGCTTTATCTTGTGGGCCATGCATGAACGTCACTAGGATTGAGAGATGGGTGGGGGTGAGGTAGGGTGGGGATGGGGGGGGGGGCTTAGCCCGAGGAGCTTGACCATGAACATTTTTTATTACACCCTGCAAAAACTTCGTCAATTAATTCATTATATGAAGAACATTTAACAAAACCTATTATTTTATCACTTTCTTTTCCTTTCCTACCTTTGCACATTTTCTCTCTTCTTTTTATAAAAAATAACACTTAATCAGTTAATTAGTGGGGTCTATGTTGAAGAAAGATTTTATGTAAGTCCATTAAAAATTAGATATGTTATATTTCCAAATAAAGCTATTCGTTTCAGTCTACTGCACTTAACAGGGGGAAATATTGTAGTCATTTATTTAATTACAACTTGCTTAATTATAAATGTTGTTTTAATATATGAATAACACTGCTATGATATGGAATAAAGGAGTATGTAATTAACAATTACAAGACAAAATAACAGTATATATGAAAATATCCAGCAAGTAGTAGAGCTTATAATACAGAAAGTCAACTATACAGATACAACTTGACATAAGGTTGCAGGCCAGATGATAATTATAGTTATTTTTTTGTCAAGGTCTCTTACCTGTTCACTCCTAAATAGAAAACTGTTCAATTTTGCTTGGGAACTTTGTGCTCATAACGGTGCGCTCGCCCCTGTTTTCTCTGTAGATCACTGACCTTGACCATGCAGATCTCCTCAGCATCAACCACCTGGTCTCTCTCCTGTTCCTCACTCACTCTCTTAAAAAAATCTTCGTATATCCATCTAGCCAACACATTGAAAAACATTTTCAATTTCTAATGCCAAAACAAATGCTACTATGCCATTTAGTTTTCACTCACAATAACTGAAACAGCCATTGGTGGATAAATGGGACAGAATATGGACAACTGTTAGCCTAATATAGCCTATATTTGGTTGCTCATGATGATGGCATTTTCCATAGCGTCACATTAAGCTGCCAAAATTTATGTTAAAGTTAGACGAGTACAATATCTCCTTTCTTTACCATAGGTAAACATAGGAAATATTAAGCAATTGACAACCCACATGGAAAGAATTCATATAAACTTATTGGTTTTAATATATGATTTGATATAGCTTTTGAATATATGTGACATATACAAAATTGGCAGTTTTCTATTTTATACATACACATATGTACCTATAATACATACATATATGTATATATGTATATATATATATATATATATATATATATATATATATATATATATATATATTTGAATTATTGAACTGAATAAGTACATTTTATATATATATATGTAGATAGATAGACAGACAGACAGATAGATATTATAGAAAATATGTATAATAGAGAAAAACGGTCAATAATGTAGATATTCGGCCATATTCTGATTCAGGTTTTTAGTGTGGAGTGATTTTCGTGCCACCAACTGAAGCGTGCAGTGATCAGTCTTCAAGAGCACAACCTGCTCTGCAGTCGTGTGCAGCCCCTCTTTCTGCATGCTCAATCTCTCCCTGTTGTTGCTCAACTTGCAATTTTTAAAGCAATGTAGCCTCTCCATCAGCCGATCAGACAGCTCTCCATTATGCAATCAAAGCATGTCCAGGAAATACTGCCAGGAAAATTGCACTTTTTTCAGATAAAGAGAACTTTATATAATTATATTTAATTAGGTTGATTAACCCTCCTCTTTTCCTGGGACATTTCCACTGTTCACTTCCTTTTACACATCAAGGGATCATTTATGTCTGACCAAACAGAGAAGAAACACTTTATATGTTGAAATTAAAAGTCCTCTTCAACTGAAAAGAGTGCAATTTAACAGTTTTAGGAATGGACAATGTGTCTTTTTTCCTCTCTCTGAAGTCTAGACCTTGGTTTAAAGGGGCTGACAGCCAAAACATGTATAGAAATAATAAATGTCTTCTTCATACATTCTCCTGCAATGCCCTGGTCCTGTAGAATGAGCCCTGGCATTTTTACTGTGATTGCCTGTTTTTCTGTAAAATCACAGAAAAAGAGAGTTCTTTGAACGTTGTTTCAGCTGTCATCGAGGATAGAAATGTTACAGATACAAAGGACGTCACTGGTGCTTTAGCTCGCCTAGTAATACTTCGGGTTTTGTGCAGAAGACCCGGGTTCGATTCTGGATGTGCACATAGTTGTTTTAGAGTTTCTTTTTTACATTAATGATTTTTTTTTCAGTAATAAGACGCCCAAATTTTTATTTGAGGCTTGCGGAACGGCATTGAATTCACAGATAAAAAAGATGTGGGTTCAACTTTCATTTTGGAACAATTTTTCAAGCAAGGGAAGGGAATGATCTGAGCATGCAGGAGGACTGACCCATCTTAAACCTTTGTCGGCTGTGCTGAAGAGAAAGGTACAGAACCACATTATTTAATTAATTAGCTGCATCTCCTGTCCTCTGTCCTCCAGGACACACACACACACACACACACACACACACACACACACACACACACACAAGGGAATGTCTCAGCTGTTATTTTCGTTAAGGAGTGTGCACGTACAGCATGCGTGCCTCGTGCACGAGCCTACTATTGAAGCTGCCGTTACGCTTTTGGCCTGAGGGGGCAATCGCGAGCATAAAAATTAAAAACTCCGTAAAGTCCCTTTTACTCATTTAAGTCTAACCAGTACAGACCCAAATACCAATATCTTGCAAATACTGACAGCAAGAATTATGCAGTAGCATTTAAACAAATAAATGCAAATAAATTGATGTTTACAAAATGTTGCATAACATTTATTGAGTCGTGTCAAGGTGCTGTAGGAGAGTGCACTAGCACCGTGTCCTCAGAGAGGTTAGTTATTATTTATCAGTGTAAGGAACTTATTTCTATCTATTTCTACCTTATTTATAAACTATTTATTTACAGGTCCATCAGTTAATGTAATAATTGTGCCAACCACAGCTGCACCCCCCACCCCCAACCCGGTCTCACAGCAATCAGGGGCAAGCTGCACATGTGTTTAGCGCGCCGCACGCGCACATTTAGCCATTTTTAGTGGCTCAGGAGTCCGCAGGTTCGGTGTGTGTCACTCACTCTGATTACTCCAACAGAGCAGACTCCGAGAGCCGTTTCTTTAGCGACTGACACATCACTACATCATTCCCTTTCCTAATGTCCTGAAGAACGGTCCGGAGCGCAGGTGGAGTGTTTAGCTAACCTGCAGGAAGTGTCAACGACAGTTATCCAGAAAGTAGCTAAGGGTTACCAGAGATGTTTCTGAGGTGTTCGCTAGTTATTTAAAAAGTCAAGAAGGGGGTCTGAAAAGCTGTTGGAAATAGCGTCAAAGTCGCTAAGTTGGCAACACTGTGGGAGGAGCGCTTCATTTGCAACTCAGGGCAGCGCAAGTGGGAGGAGCAAATAATCGGCTTGTTTTGTTTTTATAATCGTTCAAAACTCAGATCGTAATTGGGATTAAAATTCGATTAATTGAGCAGCCCTAACATATAGGTTTTACTGTATCGCCCCCTGGCTTGTCAGCATAGCTGTCGGGGTGAAGGAAGTGGAGGAAGTCTTTTCTTGATACTTCCTGTGTGCGGCGATGTAGTTCTATATTCATTAATTATTATGTCTGTTTCAGACTAAAAAAAACCTCCTGTACCAGCTACGCATGTGTCGTGATTGTGTTATGTTGATGTGAACAAATAAAAAAAAGTTAACTGGAAAAAAAAATGATAGGGGGGCTTGTGAATATTTTAGGAGGGCTGAAGCAGGTTAGATTCAATTAAGGCTATCCTCGATCTCATAACATTTTTGAAAATCTTCTGCAATCTGTCAGGGCTCAGAGTGTGTCGTTAAAGACTTTCATCAAATGTTCACTCACGATAAGCATCCCAGATACTCATCCAGTTGCATAGTTAACCTTACTGATTTTGAGGACAGGCAGACCAAAAAGGAGAAAATATCAGCGGAACGGCCTGAAATTTTCAGTTGCTGATTGCTGTTTGGCTGAGGCGGCCATTTAGAATTGAGTCCAAATGCTAAACAGTTTTACAATCGATGTCCAAAGATGACATTCTGGGAGTCTCATTCAGAAACATCCAGTGGTTCCAGAAACTATTTAAACCAAATAAAACCAAAAACAGACGTGTGCCTTCAGGGGCATCACTTTGTTTTAATCATTGCTGGAGAAATAATCATAAATGTGAGTGTGGCTTGAAGATTGCTGGGGACAACCATTATTAATAATTCATATATAAATATTCTTCCATTTAATGTTTATTTACAATATGCACGGCAGTGACAGGTGTTGAAAAGCAGAGCTTCATTCAATAAATAGAACTTAAAACTGTGGATTCATCCATCAAACCATTTTTATAAGGCAAGCTCTTAAGCCCTGCACCATCGCAGCACATGAGCTAACACAGACAATCATCTGGAATATAATATGTAGCTTACCTGTGTCAGGTTTCATTTACCTCCAAGTGCTGCACAGGTTCCCAACAGCTCCTGTGTGTGTGTGTGTGTGTGTGTGTGTGGGTACACCAGCACATGGACCCATGCCTGATAAGCTCCAGCAGGCTCTGTTGCCTGTGGTAGAGCACAGCGTGTGCAGCAGCAGCGGCTGGTGGGGCACCACCGTGAAGAGCACCATGGTGTGTGCAGGAGGAGACGTCGTATCTGGATGCAATGTAGGTGATTTCATGAAAAGGACACCTGATTGTTCCTGTCAGAGCTTATCTGCTGCTTTACATTGCACTCTGTTCTTCTCACAGGGAGACTCTGGAGGACCTCTTAACTGTCTGGGTCAGGATGGGAGGTGGT